AAAAAAAAAAAAAAAAAAAAAAAAGAACTTTTTAAAAGAGGCAAAGGCAGAGGAGAACAAAGGAAGGAGGAAGAACTTGTGGAATGCTGAGAAAAGTAAAAACACCTTCAAATAAGGAAGAGAAATAAGCTATAACCTAATGCTTGCTTAGACCAATATAAGCATGCCAGGGCAGATATTTAGGCTAAATTGTGGGAGCTAAGAAGATAAAGTACATTGATTTTTTTATTACAGCTAGCAGATATTTAAGAATGTTAGCACAGGTCTTTTAATAAATTTTGCTTCCTAAGAGAAGTTACTATTTATTTCTAATTAGATGCAGAGGAAAGTCTGCACCTCTACTTTATTTTTTTTTTTTTGAGATGGAGTCTTGCCCTGTAGCCCAGGTTGGAGTGCAGTGGTCCGACCTCGGCTCACTGCAGTCTCCGCCTCTCAGGTCCTGGTTCAAGCAATTCTCCTGCCTCAGCCTCCCGAAGAGCTGGGATTACAGGCACATGCCACCATGCCCAGCTAATTTTTGTATTTTTAGTAGAGAAGAGGGTTTCACCATGTTGGCCAGGGTGGTCTTGAACTCCTGACCTTGTGATCCGCCTGCCTCGGCCTCCCAAAGTGCTGGGATTACAGGCGTGAGCCACCGCACCCAGCCTTACTTTATTTTTTACAATATGAACTACTTTACCGGGGAGTTCATGAAGTCCCATCATATCTGGCTAATTTTTAAGTGGCAAAGACTTATTTTAATTTTTATTTGTCATCGTTATTATTTTGAGACACGATCTGACTCTGTCGCCCAGGCTGAAGTGCAGTGGCCCAATCATGGCTCCCTGCAGCCTCGACCTCCCAGGCTCAAGTGATCCTTCCACCTCAGCCTCCCAAGTAGCTGGGACTATAGGGACATGCCACCATGCCTGTTTACATTTTTCATATTTTTTAGAGACGAGGTCTCTCTATGTTGCCCAGACTGAGCTCAAACTTCTGAGCTCAAGTGATTTGCCCACCTCAGCTTCCTGAAGTATTGAGATTACAGGTATTAGCCACCAGGCCTGGCCAAATTTTAATTTATTGTTTATTGTGTCAGAATATCTATGCCTGGCCAGGCGTGGGGCCTCACGCCTGTATTCCCAGAACTTTGGGATGCCAAGGCAGGCGGACCACCTGAGGTCAGGAGTTCGAGACCAGCCTGGCAACATGCCCAAACCCCATCTCTAGTAAAAATACAAAAATTAGCCAGGCATGGTGGCTCATACCTTTGATCCCAGCTACCCAGGAGGCTGAGGCAGGAAAATCACTGGAACCTGGGAGGTGGAGGCTGCAGTGAGCCGAGATCGCGCTGTTGCACTCCAACCTGGGCGACAGAGCAAGACCCTGTCTCAAAAACAAAAAAGAAAAAAAATGCCCAATACAGCAATGGAGATGATGACTATGGGAAATATAGGCCAAGCTACAGTGAATGTGAGGCATACCCATTTTTCAGATACTATATGGTCACCTTCTCAAGAGTATAGAGCAGAGAAGGGCTCATTTAGGGGGACAGGGATGGTGTCAGAGGTTCCAGAGGGCACCCAAGGGAGGCTGAGACTGCACCGCCTACGCCACCTGGGGGAAGTCAGGGTCAGAGGTGAGCACTGCTGCTGGGGCCACCTACTGTGTTCCTGTGTCTGACACCAGCCTGAGGCAAGCCAGCCTGAGTCCCTAAGTATGAAGATGTGTTGGCATCAGGCAGTTGGGAGGAACCCTGGGTACCCAGTGTTGGTAACCTCAGTGTCCTTAGACTAGTCACTCTATTGTCATTCCCGGCAGATCTCTGCGGCCCCAGAGAGCCTCCCTGCTGTGGGGCAGCTGCACAAGCCACCCAACACTTGCCAGCGTGACCCCGCTGCTGGGACACGGGCTCTTCAGGGTGGCTCTGTCTCAAGAAAAAAATTTTTTTAGTTATATATTTTATGACCACACTGGTATAAAGATCAATATATTCCAGGCTGGAGTAGTCTTTATGTTCGTTTTTTCCATTTAACTTTAAAATCAATTTTTTTTCTTTTTTTTGAGACGGAGTCTGGCTCTGCTGCCCACGCTGGATTGTAGTGGCCTGATCTTGGGACACTGCAAGCTCTGCCTCTTGGGTTCACGTCATTCTCCTGCCTCAGCCTCCCGAGTAGCTGGGACTACAGGTGCCCACCACCACGCCCGGCTAATTTTTTTGTATTTTTAGTAGAGACAGGGTTTCACCATGTTAGCCAGGATGGTCTGGATCTCCTGACCTCATGATCTGCCTGCCTTGGCCTCCCAAAGTGCTGGTATTACAGGCGCGAGCCACCAGGCCTGGCCCTAAAATAAATTTAAAGATCATCATGAGAACCCCTCTCCTGCACCAAAACAAAGTTTCGTGGGCCTGTGGTCTCTCTTCTGCATCTAACGGAGGCATATAACCTGGGTAGACTACAGTTGTCGGCCACGGGTTTCCTCAGCTTCTGCAGGCAGATGTGCTATCTGACTCCCTCTCCCATCCCAGACTCCACGTAGAAACCACAGCTGCGCTCAGAGGCCATCCCCTCACTACACAGCAACTCAAAGGACTCTCTTTTTGGGTGGTCGTAGGTGGGGAAGGCTGCTGAGAGGATCCCTGTTGGCGCTGGGTTTGGCTGTGGGGCTCAGCCGCAGCAGGGTGCCCCAGCGTCCCTGAGTGAGCGGCACTTGTGGAGGGAGGGGCCTTAGGGCTGAGGCCTGGCACCTGCGTGGAGCGACAGCAGCTCTGGGAAGGGGCATTGATGGTGCTGATGCGCGCCAGCCCAGGCATTCCCGCTGCCAGGAAGCTAACACTGCCTGAGGTACCTCTGCTTTTGAAGCCGCCGGGTATTGGAGAGTGGGAGCACAGATGAGGCAGAGGTGGAGCCGCTCTGCGTGGGGCAGCCCGGCTCGCCAGAAGGCACTGTGGAGTGGGCACAACTGGCGATCGCTGAGCATGTACAACCGCCGAAGCATCAGGACGCCTTTTGAGAATTGCTTCCTTAGGCAGTTTCGTCACCATGCATACATCGCAGAGGGCACTCACACACCTAGACGGCACAGCCCATGGCTCCTAGGCTACCGACCTGCACTGAATACTGTGGTGACGGTAACACAATGTTGTGTATTTAAACATAGAAAAGATACAGTAAAAATACAAAATAGAAGACAAATGGTACACTTGTATAAAGCACTTGCCAGGAAGGGAGCTTGTGAGACTGGAAGTTGCTCTGGGTGAGTCTGAGTGGTGAGTGAATGTGAAGGCCTGGGAAATTATGCTGTGGACTGTATAAACATGGCGCACTGAGGCTACTAAACTGACAAATATATTTTCTTCTTCAATATAATTTATCTAACTGTAAGTTTTTGCTTTACATTTTTTTTTCTTTCTGAGACAGAATCTCATTCTGTCACCCAGGTTGGAGTGCAGTGGCATGATCAGGGCTCACTGCAACCTCAACCTCCTGGGCTCAAGCGATCTTCCCATCTGAGTCTTCTGAGTAGCTGGGAACATAGGCACACATTACCACACCGGCTAATTTTTATATATTTAAAATTTTTTTTTAGTTTTTGTGTAGATGGGATTTCACTATGTTACCCAGCCTGGCTTCAAACTCCTGGCCTCCTTCCTCAGCCACCCAAAGTGCTTGAATTACAGGTGTGAGCCACTGTGCCTAGCCTGAAAAACTTTCTCTTATAACAACATATTAAAACATAAACAAGCCAGGCGCGGTGGCTCATGCTTGTAATCCCATCACTTTGGGAGGCTGAGGTGGGCGGATCACAGGAGGTGAGGCATTCAAGACCATTCTGACCAATATGGTGAAACCCTGTCTCTACTAAAAATACAAAAAATAGCTGGTCATGGTGGTGCACGCCTGTAATCCCAGCTACTCGGGAGGCTGAGGCAGGAGAATCGCTTGAACCCAGGAGGCAGAGGCTGCAGTGAGCCGAGATCGCGCCATTGTACTCCAGCCTGAGCAACAAGAGCGAAACTCCGTCTCAAAAACAAAAACACTGTGTCATTTTAAAAGAAACAAATGATACATCATTATCCCACAGAAAGGTTATGCTCTGGAGGCAGCAGAAACAAAAGCTTTGTTTGAAAGAAGCGGAAGAAGGATTATACCTTTTTTGAAAACACAAAAACATCGGAGCTGTGCGCCTCCCGTCGGAGGCCAACCGCCGCCGTCAACCGTTCGCGCCCGCCGCGGAGGAGGAGGAGGAGCCAGCGCAGGCATGGCGTCCATCTTACTGAGGAGCTGCCGGGCCGGGGCCCGCCCGCCTCCCGCCGCCGCCTCAGGTCACCGCCCCGCGGGGTAGTCGGGAGGATCCAGCTCATCTCAGCTGTGCCAACATCCTAGGGTTGAGGAGCTGCCTGAAAGTTCCATTTGGCTGCTGTACTCGCATCCATCCTGTGTATCCGTCCTTCAGAGGCGATCACCTCAGCTGTTGCGCTCTGAGGCCCGAGTGCCTTCGCACGGCGTGGAGAGCGCCATGGACCCCACCTCTGTGGGTTCTGTGGTCCCGGGGCCTCGGTGCCTTCCTGTGTGCGGATGGCACTCTTCGCGCCCTGTTGGCGATGACTCAATAGTAGTGAAGTCCCTCAAGTCCTTGAAGGACAAGAACAAGAAGGTGGGGGAAGGCGGCCTGCTGTACGGCGCCCCCGCAGAGGTGGTGGTGATCCTGGGGGCAGAGGGTGCTGGGCGAGCTGAGGCACTACCACCATGGCTTCCGCCTGCTAAGATCGACACCAAGATGGCGGCACGCATGCTCCGGCGCATCCTCAAGGGTCACACCCTGACCCGCGGGCAGGCAGGCAGTTCCTCCTGATCTGCGCCCATCTCTTCCACCTGGTGCGTGTTAGCAGTGGTGCTGTTTGTGGAGTTTCTGCTGCCTGTTGCTGTAAAACTCTTCCCCAATATGTTGCCATCCACATCTGAGACTCAGTTCACCGAGGAGGAGAGGCTGAAGAAGGAGCTTTGGGTCAAGCTGGAGCTGGCCAAGTTCCTCCAGGACACCATTGAGATGGCCTTGAAGAACAAGGCAGCCAAGGGCAGCGCCACCAAAGAATTGTTTTTGTTTTTTGTTTTTCCAGAAGATCCGGGAGACGGGGGAGAGCCCCAGCAATGAGAAAATCATGCGTTTTTCCAAATTATTTGAGAATGAGCTGACCCTGGACAACCTGATACAGCTGCAGCTGGTGGCCCTTTGCAAGCTGCTCCAGCTACAGCTTCCTGCGCTTCCAGCTCACCATGCGGCTGCACTCCATAAAGGCAGAGGACAAGCTGATTGCTGAGGAAGGGGTCGACAGCCTGAACGTCAAGGAGCTGCAGGTGGCATGTCAGGCACGAGGCATGTGGGCCCTGGGCGTCACGGAAAACCAGCTGAGGGGTCAGCTGAAGCAGTGGCTGGACCTGTACCTGCATCAGGAGATCCCTACATCGCTGCTCATCCTGTCCCTGACCATGTACCTCCCGGACACCCTCTCACCAGCCGACCAACTCAAGTCCACACTGCAGACCCTCCCAGAGATTGTGGCAAAGGAAGCGCAGGTGAAAGTGGCCGAGGTGGAGGGCGAGCAGGTGGACAACAAGGCTAAGCTGGAGGCCACACTGCAGGAGGAGGTGGCCATCCAGCAGGAGCACCGTGAGAGGAAGCTGCAGAAGCACTCCAAGCGGCGAAGGATGTTGAGCCCAAACATGTGGAAGCCGCTCCCCAAAGGCCAGGGGTCCAGCCACAGCCAGAAGTGCCTGACACAGTCCTGCAGTCAGAGATCCTGAAGGACACTGCCCCCATGCTGGAGGGCTTGAAGGAGGAAGAGATCACTAAGGAGGAAATCAACATTCTCAGGGATGCCTGCTCTAAGCTGCAGGAACAGAAGTCACTCACCAAGGAGGAGGAGGAGCTGGAGCAGCTGAAGGAGGACATGCAGAACTACAGCGAGGACTTGAAGGAGGTCAAGAAGGAACTTTCAAAGACTGGCGAAGAAAAATACATGGAAGAATCTAAAGCCAGCAAGAGACTGACAAAAAGGGTGCAGCAGATGACGGGCAGATCAACAGCTTGATCTCGCAGCTGGAGATGGACCAGCAGGCCAGCAAGTTGGCCCCAGCCAAGGGCGTGCCCACGGGGGAGAATGTCATCAGTGTTGCCTAGCTCATCAATGCCTTGAAGCAAGTCAAGCACATTCCCGAAAGCAAGCTCACCAGCCTGGCCACAGCACTGGATGAAAATAAGGATGGCAGCCAGGCATGGTGGCTCATGCCTGTAATCCCAGCAATTTGGGAGGCCGAGGCGGGTGCATCACGAGGTCAGGAGATGGAGACAATCCTAACTAACACGGTGAAACCCCATCTCTACTGAAAATACAAAAAATTAACCAGGCGTGCTGGTGGGCGCCTGTACTCCCAGCTACTCGGGAGGCTGAGGCAGGAAATGGTGTGAACCCGGGAGGTGGAGCTTTCAGTGAGCTGAGATCACGCCACTGCACTCCAGCCTGGGTAACAGAGCAAGACAACGTCTCAAAAAAAAAAAAAAAAAAAAAAAGAAAGAAAGAAAAAAAGAAAGAAAGAAAAGAAAAGGAAATAAGGATGGCAAGGTCGACTTCAACCACCTTGTCAAGGTGATTGAGCTGGTGGATAAAGAAGATGTTCACGTCTGCACCAGCCAGGTGGCCGAGATTGTAGCAACACTGGAAAAAGAGAAGGTGGAGAAGGAGAAAGCCAAGGAGAAGGTGGAGAAGGAAGTCGCAGAGGTGAAGAGCTAGAGCCACCGGCCTGGGCACCTGTCCTCTTGCTGAGCCGCTGCCCTGGCGAGGGCCATGAGAACGATTGCTTTGTGGTGATTCTTAGTGGCTCATCTGATACTTTGGCTGGAATAAGTCAGAGACTTCCAAAATCAAGTAAACTTTCATTTTCATCATTCCACGGAGATTGAATCTGTCTGGAATCCTAGAACCCCTCCACAGAATCATGTCTGGATCCACTGTGGTATGGCTGCTACGGCCTCCTGGCTCTAGAGGCGGCCGGGCCAGGCCAAGGCAGGAAGACGCCCCCCTGTGTGTAGCCTCACGTCTCAGCATCTGACTGTGCTGCCCTGTCCCCAGGGAGGGGAATAAGGACCATGTGGGCTCTGCCCACACAGAGCTGGCTGCTGTGCCCACCCTCAGAGGTGTCAGGAGACACAGCCTGGTCTCCTCAGGGCTGAAGATGCCTCCATTCACCTGTGGACCTTGATTTCTAGATTTCAGCATCAATAGACCTGTCTTCCTGAACGCTTTCAGTTGGATCTGGGTCACTGTGGAGACAGAGGTATCTGCCATCTCTGTGGCCTCTGGAGAGTGATGTCTCCCTGCTGGGAGTGCCGCTTCTCACATGCGGTTTCCCTTGTGTATCAGAGCTCTTTCTTGACTTTCTATTTTCCCCCAATTCTTTAAGAAGTCGATTGGCACAGAGTTTTCCCACGCTGGTCTGCCTGCCCCGAGAGCCATCGTGACTTGGACGTAGCCCTGGCCATGAGACTCCCTTGGGTGGTGCTTGGGCTGTGCACCACAGGGGCTGCAGTGGATTTGCTGTGTCAGGGATGAGCCTGGCTCAGGGGTTGGTGGGGCTCTGAAGCGCATTTGGGGTTCTTTGTAGCTTCTAATGCGAGGTTTGAGTCCAGTGCACCCACAGCAGCATGCCCTTCTTACCCCTGTGGTGTTGCAGGCTCAGGCCCCTGGGCTCCTTTAACAAGCAAGCTGGTCACTGAAGCACGAAGATGCAGCACAGGGCATCCCCTGGGGCTTCAATGACAACACCTGCAGTGCTTTGGGTTTGCCCTGTGCCCTCTGGATAGGGCGGCCTCCCCGCACTCGGCACTCGGCAGCATGGTCGGGCTGGCCAGGGCATGGGCAGACGGTGTCCTGTGGCCACCTCCACCCTCCTGCCCAGCCGGCTGTTTCACACTCATCTTTTTAAGGTCAGGTTGGTTCCTGGCAAAAATGTCCCTCCAGGGGCCTCCAAGCATAGGATTTGGAAGACATAGGAACAGCACAGGCAGCCAGGAAAGCAGTCGCGCTCAGACGATGCCTTCTCCATTACTCAAAGCTTCTTTTTGTTCAGCCAGTAAAGAAACTTGACAAAATAGGAACAGGAGATATTTCTCAATTGTAAACCTTTGTGCAGGGACAGTTGGCTTCCAAAGGCTTTCAGATTTCAATTACTTGAGAAAGAAGTTTGTTTTAGATCCTTAATATTTATGAATTCTCAAAAAAATTGATGAATAGGCATTTTATAGCTTTAACCCTGCAAGTGTTTCTTAATGAGTATACTAACTGCCCTGGGGCACGTAGGTAAGTGTAAATGCTGTGGTTTGAGCCAAGTTTTCATCTGTAATCCCAGTGCTTGAGGTGGCCAAGGCCAGAGGATAACCCAAGCCCAGGAATTGGAGACCAGGCTGGACAATGGAGTGAGACCATGTTACTTTCTTTCTTTTTTTTTTTTTTTTTCTGAGATGGAGTCTTGCTCTGTCGCCCAGGCTGGAGTGCAGTGGCATGATCTCGGCTCACTGCAACCTCCACCTCCTGGGTTCAAACGATTTTCCTGCCCCACAGACGAACACCACCATACCTGGCTAATTTTTGTACTTTTAGTAGAGACGGGGTTTCACTACGTTGGCCAGGCTGGTCTCGAATTCCTGACCTCAAGTGATCCACCTGCCTTGGCCTCCCAAAGTGCCGGGATCATGGCATGAGCCACTGAGGCCAGCCCTTTTTTCCTTTTTTTGAGATGGGATCTCCCCAGACTGGGGTGTAGTGGTGCAGTTACAGCTCACTACAGCCTTGACTGCCCAGGCTCAAGTGATCCTCCCATCTCAGCTAGAATTACAGGCTTGAGCCACAGTGCCTGGTAATTTCCTAATTTTGTAGAGATGGGACTTAGCTATGTTGCCTACACTGGTCTTGAACTCCTGGTGTCAAGCAATTCTCCAGTCTCGGCCTTGGCCTCCCAAAGTGGTGGGATTCTAGGTGTGAGCCACTGCGCCTGGCCTTTAAAATTTCAATCTCTCCAAAGCCTCCAAAATATTCTTTAGTTAGTTCTTCAGAAGTAGCTGGGCTCAATCCACCCACAAAAACCTTTCAGGGGGTTCTTTCCCTTTTCAAGCTTTGGCTCTTTGTGGCAGGGGTGGGGGGTGGTCCTATCAATTTGCCATCCAGCTTCTGTTCTTTCCATTCCAAGGCCTTAACAGCACTAGCATTTTCCAAAAGCACAAATACAAATCCCCTTGATCTTCCAGTAACTGTTTTAACTGTGCAGTCTGCAACCAGCCTAAGTCAAGACACACCATCAGATCTTTTTGCTTGTAACACTGTACCATCATCCTGCAGATCTTGGATCCCTCTGTGATTTCCTCTGTATTGCTTGCGGTACTCATTCAGGTCTTTGCTGGTCCTGGAGGAGTTGTAGGCAGGGGGCTGCTGGTGCACACTCAGGGTAAGGAAGCAGTGTATGCTATGGAGTTGGACTTCAAATGGTGGTGGAAGACAGTCATTATAATTTTACGGGACCACGGTGGTGTGTGTGGTCTGTTGTTAACTGAAACGCCATCACCTCATGTGGGGAGCTGCCAGAAGCCTGTAAGAGTAGCTGCCTGAAGCCCTTTGGGGGTAGCACTCTAAGGTCCCTTAGATCACATGGGTGTAGCACCCTAAGGCCCTGGCGGGAATGACTGTTGGAACCTCTGTCAGTGGTAAGTGATGCCAGTGTCCTCTGTAGAGCAAACTGCTGGGGTCCCTGGTGGTTCCCACCGTGTAGCTGACACTCGTGGCCTCTGCTTTTCTTCTTTGTTCACAGTGTTCTCCTGGCATCTCAGGTATGCATTATCTCACCAGTGAACTTTTTCATGTGGACATTCTCGAGTTTTTTCGTTTTACTCCACTGTGTTGCTGCAGATCTTCAATGGGTCCTTGAGCGTTCTGGGCTATTCTGGCTTGTGAATATCTGTCTGTAGTTGATTTGTGTGTGGGTAGTGGGAGGGGGAAATGAAGGTTGGTATCTCCTACTCCACCGTCTTGGTGATGTTGCTCCACTCTTTCCTTTCTTTTTTTTCCAAAATAACCCAGCAACATTGCCCCAACTAAAGCCATTAAGATAATTCCTGGCCGGGTGCGGTGGTTCACGCCTGTAATCCCAGCACTTTGGGAGGCTGAGGTGGGTGGATCACTAGAGGTCAGGAGTTCAAGAGCAGGCTGGCCAACATGGTGAAGCCTCATCTCTACCAAAAAATACAAAAATTAGCTGGGTGTGGTGGCATGTGCCCGTGGTCCCAGCTACTCGGGAGGCTGAGGCACAAGAATCGCTTAAACCCAGGGGGTGGAGGTTGCAGTGAGCTGACAGACATCGCGCCACTGCACTCCAGCCTGGGTGACAGAGCGAGACCCTGTCTCTAGATAAATAAAATAGAGCCATTAAGATAATTCCTCAAAAACAGTAAGTTGCCAGGCATTCACATTTCTTCTTTATTCTCGTTTTTGTTTTGTTTGAGACGGAGTCTCGCTCTGTCACCAGGCTGGAGTGCAGTGGTGCGATCTCAGCTCACTGCAACCTCCGCCTCCTGGGTTCAAGTGATTCTCCTGCCTCAGCCTCCCAAGTAGCTGGAACTACAGGTGCGCGTCACCACAGTCAGCTAATTTTTGTATTTTTAGTAGAGATGGGTTTCACCATGTTGGCCAAGATGGTCTCGATATCCTGACCTCTTGATCCGCCGGCTTCTGCCTCCCAAAGTGCTGGAATTACAGGTGTGAGCCACCATGCCTGGACCCTCATTCTTGTTTTCTTTTTCTCGGTTGCTTGGTTTGCATTAGGACTTTCCCAGGATGTAACTGCGTCTCCCTCCCCTGTCCAGTCTCCCCACCTGTCATCCCTGAGACAGTAAACCTGGGTCCATCTCTGGAAGGATAAGAGCCCAGATCTGTGGCCAGTGGCTCACTGGGGCTATGGGGATGTGTTTGCATTTGAAGGTACAGATAGGGCCCCAGGAATGTCTTGGTTTCTGTGCCCGACCCAAGTGTGCTGATAGCTCCTCAGATGCCTCCCGAGAGTCAGGGGAACTAAGCATGCCCGTCTCCACACACACACACAGGCCACCCACTCTTCTCTCCACGCAGCCCCTCTGCTGCCCTTGATTAGTCACAGACACCAAGGTGGGTGAAGTAGGGAGTAGGCTGACTGTCCATAGTGGCCCCCAGCAGCCAGGTACCAGAAAGAGGCGTAAAAGGGAGTCCCGCCTTTACTCTTGCAGATGATGGCTCCTCTGGTGACGATTTCAGAATTCAACATGTTTTACAATCGAAACTAGCATTTGATAATAAATAAAAATCAACAGCCCAGCCAAACACACCATCCACATACTCCCAATGTGAGAGCAGGAAGACTCTTGTGCCTTAACTCCCTTCCTGCCACCAGCTCCCTCTCTCCCTCCCTCCTCTGTCTCTAGCCCAGCAATCCCTCCACTCCGGTTCTGCCCAGCTGTTGGGAATCTTGGACAGCTTCCTGAGATCCCTGTGCATCCAGTCAGGGTTGGGGCAGCAGAAAACGAAGACCCACTCAAGACCTTATCAGTGCGTGCTTGACTCCTGGTCTCTCTTCTCATGCTTTGTTTGACTCGACATACCTCCCCCAACAACTTGATTTGCATTGATAAGTGTCACTGTGTTTTCCTTTGACACGACCCTGTTGCAGTTTGCCGAGCCCTTGATGGTACCAGGCTCTGGGCACGTAGAACCTACATCCTCATTGGAAACCCAGAGAGCTAAAGCTCCTCAGCCAGGGTCACAGAGCGAGCAGAGCTGGAGCCTGGACACCAAGCCAAGCCCCTCTGTTTTGAATTCTTGCTCTTCAACTACAGCTCAGTCTCCTCCCAGGAAGTGGTGATCCCCGCTTTGGGCGGGACAGGGTTAAGTGCCTCAGAGGTCATAGGTCGCAGGTGGGATGTGAAGTCTGTGCAGTCGCCCACCTTCTCTGGGCTTGTGGGCAAGGACAGTGCAGCCTTGGGGGATGGGAGTTAGGAGCCCCCAGCGGGTAACAGTGACCTGAGCCGTGGCACGGGTCCCCTGGCTCCATCTTATGCTCTGTTGTCACCGTCCTGAAATGATCAACGATTTTTGAACAAGGGGACTTGCATTTCCATTTTGTACAGGGGCCCCTCGAATTATGTCTCAGGTCCTGGTAAGAGCTCCTTGGGAGTGGTTACTTATTTTTTTGTATAAGCAGAGTCTTGCTATGTTGCCCAGGCTGGTCCCAAACTCCTGGCCTCAAGCAATCCTCCGGCATCAGCATCCCAAAGCACGGGAACAACAGGCACGCCACCGCATACCACCCTGGGAGACAGCCTTTGGGGATGACGCCCGTTCCTTTGTTGTTCCGTGGTGGTGGGGAGGACGGCTCCTGAGGGGCAGCTGCCGAACAGTCCTGTGCTTGCCATTCCAGGCATCTGAGCTGATTCTGGATGCAGCAGCAGCAGCCCCGGCACTCCCTGAGGAAAGTGAGTGGCTGGAGCCCACCCAGCTCCTGCAGAGTCTGCACACCAGGGTGGAGGCCGAGGCGCCCCATGCCCCTGGCTTGCTGGGTGAGTCTGGCTCCTGCGTGGATTAAGGGTTGGAAATGGAGTTTGGCACCTCAACCCAAAGTCACAGACTTTGTTAATGGGTGGAGTTGGGGGCTTCGGTGGTAAACTCCACACTTCCCCCAGAAACCATGCACACCTCCTGTGGGGACTGAGATCGGGGGCCCCTAGAACTGCCACATACATCGTTCAGCCCACGAGAAGGGCCTCAGCCTCCCCACCTGAACAGCAGCCAAGGCAGACAGTCTGACAGTGTTGGAGCACAGGGTTACCCAGAAGGCCAGCCAGGTAGGAACAAGGGGCCAGTGCTGTGGGATCTGCTCCCAAAACACATGCCCTTCTTTTTTTTTTTTTTGGAGATGGAGTCTTGCTCTGTTGCCCAGGCTGGAGTGCAGTAGTGCAATCTCGGCTCACTGCAACCTCTGCCTCCCGGATTCAAGCGATTCTCCTGCCTCAGCCTCCTGAGTAGCTGGGATTACAGGTGCCCACCGCCACACCCGGCTAATTTTTGTATTTTAGTAGAGATGGGGTTTCACCATGTTGGGCAGGCTGGTCTTGAACTCGTCACCTCATGATCCACCCTCCTCGGCCTGCCAAAGTGCTGGGATTATAGGCGTAAGCCACTGCACCCAGCCACATGTGCCCTTGTATCTTAAAGGACAGAACAGAGGGCACAGGGGACATATTGAGCAGAAGAAGGGCCCAGACTTGGCTCAGTCATTGGGGTCCTCCACGCCCCTGGGGGGCACAGGGAGATGCCAAAGCCATCCACTCACTACAGGTGACCTGTCTCCCTTGCCCTCCACAGGGTCCCGGGCCCGCCTGTCTCTGAAGCCATGTATCTGGGACGAGCCTGAGGATCTTCTCGCAGGGCCCTCCTCAGACCTGCGTGCAGAAGGGGCTGTGATCTCAAGCCTCAAGGGTCCGAGTGCTCAGAGAATCAGTCCCCGAAGGAGAAACAGGAACACTGACCAGAGCGTCCGCCACCAGCCATCCCTCAAGCACACCAAAGGTGGCACCCAAGAGGCTGCTGCAGCAGTCTCAGCAACGCTGCGTGGGACCCGAGGTGGGCGGCCCTTCCAGTGTGCCGACTGCGGGATGGTCTTCACCTGGGTCACCCACTTCATCGAGCACCAGAAGACCCATCGCGAGGAAGGGCCCTTTCCGTGCCCCGAGTGTGGCAGGGTCTTCCTGCACAGCTCTGTCCTTGCTGAGCACGGCAAGATCCACCTGTTGGAGCCACCCAGGAAGAAAGTCCCCCGGAGCAAGGGCCCCCGGGAGTCCGCCCCACCCAGGGATGGAGCCCAAGGCTCAGTGGCCCCTCGCAGCCCCAAGAGACCCTTCCAGTGTAGCGTCTGCGGGAAGGCCTTCCCCTGGATGGTCCACCTTATCGACCATCAGAAACTCCACACGGCCCACGGCCACATGTGAATGGCCAGCCTCGGGCCTTGGCCACCCGGCCCTGAGTCCCTGGGGGGCACCGATGGGCACCAGAAGATGGGGGACATCCCCCAGCCCCACCAACCCCTGGCCACCATGGGACTCCTCTTGAAGGACACAGGCTGCTTCTCAGAAGATCCTGGACACCTGCTCCAGAGCCGAGCATGTCTTCCCAGGATCTCAGCCAAGAAGCAGCAGTTCCACAGCAAAACCTGGTCAGTCCTGCACACTGTGCTTTTTGCAAGTGGCTTGAAGAGGAGTTTCATTCGTGTCTCGTCTTTCAGAAGCCTTGTCCAGGTCTCCCTGTGAGCACCTGACTCAGGGGCAGACTCTGCCGCTGGGTTTTCATTTCACTGTGGATATCCCTGAGGCCATGAGGGCGGAAGCCGGCCTGGGCAGCTCCAACTCCAGAGAAGGGTACAGCTGACCCCGGCTGCCCTCCTGCCAGCTCAGCCCCCTTGGAACCTAACAGATAAACAGGGTTTTGTTTTTTTTCCTTTTTTGGGAAACATAAAATTTACCATTTCAGTCATTAAAAATGCACAGTTCAGTGGCATTAAACACATTCACAACACTGTGCAACTACCAGCACTCTTTAGCTCCAAAGACATTTTCATCTCGCCCAGAAAGAGAGCCCACAGGCCTCAGCACGCCTTCGCCGTTCCGCCTGCCCTGACAACCAGAATCTGCTTCCTGTCTCTAAGGATTTCAGGCGCAGTCTTTAGGCCTGACCAAAACTGACCTGCCTATATTTTGTTTGACTTACAGAAGGATTTTTTTTTGAGATGGATGCCAACATTTGTTTAAACCATAAAAATCTGGCATTCTGGTCTGCCAGGAAGAACCAGATGGTCTCCAAAGAGTGGGGCCGCCTCTCCTGCTAGACTGGAGCAGAGGTGGGCAGGTGGTGAGGTCACAGCAGGGAGCCAGCCTCAGATTTAGCGTCTCACCCATCCCCAACTCATTGTTGCTGGACACTTGTCCTCTTTCAAGCCTTAAAAGTTTTTGTCTTTTTCTTTTTCTCCTCCCAACTTCACTTTGAAACACAGTGTTGGGCTGACTGTGAATCTGCACAGGCAGACATTTTTCCAAGTCGCCTTCTAACTCAAAAGCCTTTGGACCTACCCACGTCACATCCGCCTGCTGCTGATTCTCAACCAATCTGCCCCCACTCTCGGCCTCTGTCCCCGACGGCCCTCACGGGCTGTGCAGGTCCCGCGGACCGGCCGCTGCCTTCACTTCATCCTCGCTGCCGCGCTTGCCTTCTCACGCTTGCCTTCTGGAGCACCCCCAAACGGGCCTCTGGACTTTGCTTCCCCGGCTCCCTCCGGGATCCCCAGCTTTTCCCTGCAGTCCCCACTGGGGGCTCCTGGCTCTATCCTATGCCTTAATTGCTGATGGGCTCCAGCTCCCCTCCTGGGGCCTTCTCTCTCATCCTGCAAAGGAGGAGCTGCTTCTACCGAGCTCAGGATGGAGGGTGGGGTCTTGGCCCCGCAGTCAGCCCATTACTCTCGGAAGCCCCCCTGAGCCTTCTCTCAGGGGCAGATCGATCGTCTCGCACAATGGGATATGTAGAGATAGCTCTCCCAAGTGCCCCCACTTGTTGGGAGCCAGGGGCTCATTCCATGCAGTTTCCATCTCGGTCTCCACCTGCTGGAGGCACAATCACAGCTGTTTGTTGGTGCCAGAATTGCACAAGAAAGTGGGTGCCACTGAACACAGGGCATCAGTCAGGCTCAAGTCTACCTGGGCTGGCCCCACAGACATCCATCTCGTGTCCCTCAGTCCTCCAATTGAGTTTGTCCAAATAAGTCATCTTCCCTTGTGCAAAAACAACAAAAAACATGCAAACTGCCTCCGCTCTGGGGTTCCCACTCTCCTCAGAGGGACCACCACCTTCCAAGGCCCCAGAAGGATTTTTGATTGCCCTGGGAACCCACCTCCCAACCCCTCTCAGTTCTCTTTTCTCCTCTGCACCATCAGCCCCAGGCTCTCTCCCCATTTCTTGAATGCCTGCAGCTGCCTCTAAGCAAACTCTGCCTCCAGCCCGTTCCCTCTGCCCCACCCCCATCCTGCAGCCAACAGGGTCCCTCTAAAATGCAGACACTGAAAAGACAAACCCCAGCAGGGCAGCTCCATCGTGTCTTTTGTGGCCCTGCTGCCTCCACAGCTCCCAGCACTGGGATGGTGGAGGCTGGTGTCCTTAACTCACTGTGTCTCTGCCTAACTCCACACTGCCTCTCACCTTGGCCTCCTCCTGTGCCTAGAACAGTCTCCACTGCCACACTTGACCACACTCAGCATACAGCAGGCCCTGCAGAGTGAAGGGATGACTCAATGAGTGAGGGGAAGTCCCTGTGGAGATAACTGAGACACTGTTGTGGGCTGCAGTTTCCAGCCAGGGAAGCCTCCCTCAACCTCTGAGGGGAGGTGGGCCACCCCTGGAGGGCCCCTCCCATGCACTCCACCTTAGCTGACAGAAGCAAGGACGTGGCCCAGGATCCTGGAGCAGTTGTGGCAGCTGCCGCAACTCTCGAAAGCCACCACGTGGTGTTCTTCGCCCAACTTGCCCAGTCCCAAGACCCTGCCTGAGCTGCAGTGAGACACAAAGCTAGCCTCTCTCTTCTCTTTAGGTTCACCCCAGCTGTGGGAGCCCCAGCACCTCAGCACGCCTCCCTCACCCTGTGCCTTCCTCTGCCAGCACTCCCCAAAGACCCCAACACCCCCATCATAATGTGCCCCAGTCTCCCGTCCTCCAGCCCTTGTCACAGGAGCTGTGAGCCCAGCCCTGGGCACTTAATGCTCTGGAAGACTAGTCTCACAGGTCACCTTTCTCCCTGGCAGCCAGGGTCTCTTGGGTCAGAGGAGGGCTGGACACTGCTAGGTTTTGAAGCTCTCAAAAAAAAATTTTTTTTTAAGGGAGAAATATGTCCAGGGAGCTGTAACTGTCACGGTATATTTTAAATGTATATGTTGAACAGATTAGCTTTTTAAACATTAACATACAGCATGACACAGTTCTGCTATCCATGCTGTGATTGCAGGATTGCTTGGAAGCTGCACTGATGTGCAGCCCACCTGCTCATGGTGGGGGGTCCTGTCCCAGGCCACACAGAGAGGCAACCAGCAATGCTCTGCTTGGAGATTCGGACAGGAAGCCAAGAAGGAGCTGAGAAGGGCCCAGCCAGTGGTTATGAGAGAGCAGGAGGTTCAGACCACAGCAAGGGCGGCACCGGAGTAGCCTCCAGCTCGTCTTATTTGACTGGTAGTGTTATTAAAGCCTTTGAAATCCCTACCAGCTTTTAAAAATCAAGAGATTTCACACAGAAATCACGATCTCTGGGTTCTTTTGAGAAATCCAGACCTGGGACGCTAGGCTTATCAGTCTGCAAGACCCCACTTGGCTGGAGCCAAGCAGCACCTGCCCCTGTAGAAAGAGCCCGCCCCTGCTGGCATGTACGATTTAGAAACCTGGCTGAGAAAAACTGAGGATCAGAAGGTCTGAGGAAGGAAACAGAGGGGCAAGTGTGAGGGAGCTGGGCAGGGCCGCCTGGCCACCATCAGGGCTGAGCAAGCTCAGTGTGGCACCACCGACAGCTTCTCACCAGGACTATCAGACCGCTTGGGAAAAAGACTTCACCATAAGTTGTGTGTTCATACCTTTTGATCCAGTAAAAGGAAACGGGTGGAGGAGGTGGGGTGGGGGCAGGGGACAAAAGAGTATACATTTTGTGAAAGAAAAAAATAGACACACAAAATGTTTTGTGGCATTTGGGTTTGTGAGTGAGAGAACTGAAAAATGGCATTTTATGTACAATGGAAAGCCTCTTTACTGCAGTAGAGTGAAAAGCAGGCTGGCTTTCAGTGTGACGGTCACTAATGTGGGGCTTTACAGCTCTTGGAACGTACAGGACACCCTTAAAAGCCAAGAAGCTTGCCTTTGCTTTGTTTACATCAGTGCATTATGATTTTGAGCCATTATATCTCTTCATAATTGCCACTGTTTTAGGGCTTATGACATTTAAAGTCTTAACTTATGTGTCAACCAGCTAAATCTTTTCAAGTGTCTGTGTGTGGTATGAGAATTCGTATTGTGTTCTCTGCTGTTTTCAGAGTTCAGTCAAAGAAAAAAAAATGCCCCTGTCTTAAAAACTTTTCCGCAGCTTCAAATACAGTTCCTAAGCCCAGGCTGATTGGAATTAATCAGTCCTCTCTTAAAAGGGCAAAAGCACAAGGCTCAGCCCTGGCTTTCCCAGCTCCTCTCGCCTGGCTGCTCCATGCACGTGTGATGTATGCTGGTGAAACGAAGCCCGCTTGAATGGGGGCTTCGCTACTGTGTGCTGCTGAACCTGGGCCTAGCGCCTGGCAGGCTTTGGTGAATGTTCAAAAAATGACAATTCACTTCATGTCCGCGAGAACACACCAGCTTTGAATATTATACTGCTGTTCAAATGCACAATTTTGACTACCTAGCAATGTCCGAAGTCGTCATAATTGTTAGTGTCTTGCACATTATGTTCCTTATAACCATGTAATAAATACAGCAGGAAGTCTCCAGGGCTGCCTCAGTGTGGAAAATGCAGACTCCCGTGTGTGCGATCTTGGTGAATGCTTTGGTTTGAAGTATGTTTTGAAAAACCACTGCTTTGTTTGCAGCAATAAAGCTAAGGGTGGAGTTTCCAACACGAAAGCCCGTGTGGTCGCGCCGGGAGCTCACGGCGTTCCAGGTGGCCCCGATCCCGCGTTGATGCCCAGGCACCTCCCGCGCCCTGTTTCACCAGGCCCGGTGACCCCAGCTCCAGCAGCACCGAGAGGCCGCCAAAGCCAAGGGCGAGAGCGACGTGGGGACCCGCGGCCGGAAATGCGCGCGCGGCTCTCTGGGAAATGGAGTCAGGCGCGCGCAGGCGCAGTGTCGGCCGCCGGTGCCGCGGCCTTTGTCTAGCCGTCAGGCGGGTGAGCTAGGCCGGCGAGGTGGGGGAGGGGAGGCCAGGCTGGGCCGGGCCGGGTGCAGGGGTCCGGGGATCTTCCTGGGACCCTGGCGGGGCGAGTTCCCAGCAGCGCGCGTCTGTGTGGAGTCCGTTTTGCTGCCCGGGGCCTGGGGAAGGCCGTTTCGGGGCTGGCGGGGACGGGATTTGGGAGGTATCCCCGGTCTGAGAGGAGGGCGGGGCCCAACGCTCAGCTGAGGGAACGCGCGCCTCGCCCCCGGCCCCACTTCTGCCCTACACCGGGCGCTGGGCCGCCACCCTTGTTGACAGAAGAGGGAAAGTGAGGCACAATGCCCAGGGCCAGGGGACCGCAACCCCCCGGTCCTTGTCACTGTAGCGTTAAGGCCCAGAGTCTGCGCAGCAGGCATGTGTCGGCACCCGCCAGGCCCTCAGCTTCCCCCAGACGGGCGGGAAAAGCCTAGGCGGCCCTTCCCCGCGCGGGGGGCCGCCCCACACACAGCAGGCGCTTAAACGGGGACGCGGGGCCCTGGAGGGCTCTCCACGGAGCCGGGCTCTGGCGCAGTTCCGCGGCGCGGGGACCTGAGCACCGCCTCGGCCTCCCAGCTGCTC